ATACCAGATTTGTTAGGGAATTCGTACCCCAACACCGAAAGCACATCAAGCACAACACAATATTAAAGTGCAAGAAAATAAAAGAACACAAGAATGGTCACCCAGTTTGGCCTAATCTGGGGGGCTCAGGTCAGCCCATTCCACTAGTGCAAAAAACCACCTCCCAGAGCGAGTTCAATACAACCAAACACTTCACCTTACCCGATTGATCATCGATCTACAAGATCTCACAAAGAATCTGGGCTTTCTACACAACATATTAATCTGACCGAAAAATATATTCCTACAGCATACAACCACACAACCGGAATAACCTATGGTTACTGTAGCTTACAAAATCAACAAGATTTTATCATCAAAAATACACTTCTATCACAGAAGGAATTTTGATTAGAAGAAGAAACCAAGATGAAGATTTCTTGAAGTTTTAGAGAGAGAGAAAATGTGACTGAAACAAAACTCCAAAATGCAGCCAGTGAAGTGACCCGTTTTCAACCAAAAACGTGACTTGAAGAGTCACTTTTAATTCAAAGTAAGATCTCAACCATTGGTTTAATCCAATGGCCCTTATAGTTTCCAAATAAACACAGATCCGGGTCACGTCCAATGCTCCAATCAGTAGCTGCCATTTGAAGTCTTAACAAATTTCCGAAAATACCCTCAATTTAAAACACAACTTTAAAAACACGTTTTTCTCCTTTCAATCTTCACCTTGTTTCTCAAGTTGTACACTCCCTCTCAGTTGCGGAATTTTGCACTTATAGTGGAAAGGCTGAACAACATCATTGCCTTAGATACCTGCAAAGAAAAATTACCCAGTATCAATGTTGAGAAGTGACAAACACATTCTAAACTTATTCACAGGCAGAATTTTTGTGCCCATATCAGATGGGTTAATGTCAGTATGAATTTTCTCTAACATCATTTCACCTAAAGATAGTTTCTCTCTTATGAAATGATATTTCACCTCAATATGCTTGGACCTTTCATGATAGACAGGGTTCTTACTTAACAATAATGCACTCTAACTATCAGTAAGAATAACGGGTGATGAAAAAAGAAAATTCAGTTCACTTAAAATTCCTTTCAGCCATATACATTCTTTAACACATTCAGTAATTGCCACATATTCAGCTTCAGTACTGGATAAAGTGACAATTGGTTGAAGTTGAGACTTCCATGTGATACAATTATCACCAAGTGTAAAGAAAAAAGCTGTGGTAGATTTTCTTTGATCCTTGTCTCCAGCAAAATCAGAATCCACGTACCCTTTAAGGGTTAATGGTTCTAATCCCTTTTTGTACACTAATCCTACACTTAGTGTCCCAGCTATATACCGTAATAGCCATTTTAAGCCAGCCCAATGTGGTTTCCCCGGGTTTGCCATAAACCTACTTAAAAAACTGATTAAATATGCTAGATCAGGTCGTGTTGTTATCATAGAACACATTACTGATCCTATTGCATTGGAGTAAGGGATATTTTCCATGTCTTTGGCCTCAGATTCAATTTCAGGACATTGGGCTGAGGAGAGATTCATGTGAGCAGCAAGTGGAACATTAACAGACTTAGCTTCTTTCATGCCAAACTTAGATACAACTTTATGTAGGTAAGACTCTTGGGTTATTATTAACCTGCCTTCTTGTCTATTCCTAGTTATCACCATTCCCAGTATTTTCTTGGCATTCCCTAAGTCTTTCATGTCAAATTCAGATTTTAGGAGGTTCTTCATTATTTTTATTTCAGCCTTGCTTGAAATGGCCAGCAGCATATCATCTACATACAAGAGTAGATATATCTCGCTGCCAGGTTTGGAGTTATAGTAATATAAGCAATGATCATACTCACTTCTCCTAAAATCAA